AGAGAGAGAGAGAGAGAGAGAGAGAGAATGAACCTTTTCAATACTAAATTTGATGGAGAAATTTTAATCAACAGGCATAAGGCCATACACGTTTCACCTAACAGATTTCTTTTTTAATTACCGGTACTCTGAAAGCAGACACTGCATTCAGTATCTCAAATTCTTTACTGCTTTCTGTGTTTCCTTGCTTCTTGACAAGACATTGAACCTGCCCTCCTCCAAAGAAGCGGTGTGTTTATATACAGGTACAGCTGACTGGTTAGCTTCAATAGCACTCTTGGAACTCATCATTCATTCTCTTTCTAATGCTTCCTAGTCAAACATCAGCGACACCAAACAGTGTTTTTCAAATTCTTCCCTGCTCAGCAGAATTGCTTGTTCACCAGGTACAGCCCCTAAGGCTATTGTTGTTTTGAAAGACCAAATATTGCCAACTCTCTCCCCCAGATGCACACAACTAGATGGGAACTCCCTTCTTCCTCTTTTCACCAGTCCCTTAAGCTGGAAGTTGTTGCTGTTTACCACAATTTCACAACTCCCCCCAGAAAATAGCACACCAGTCATATCTCATGGTTAATCTGGTCTCAGAACTGAAGTCTGTGTTTCCACATAGCACTATGCAGCATTCCACCTGGACAGATGAGCCTAAGGAATGTTCAAGAGAGTACACATAAAAAGAGTGACTCTGCACTAAGTCATATATCAGAGGAGATACTCAAACAATCTTACATCACCCAGCTCTCATATAGTGCTTTCATCAGTAGGTCTGAAAGTGCTTTACAAGAAGGAGGTCAGTATCATTATCTCCATTTTCCAGATGGGGAACTGAAGCATAGAGAGGTGAAGTGACTTGCCCAGGTTCCCCAGCAGGCTAGTAACAGAGCCAGAAAGAGAACCCCAGCCTTCTGAGTGCCAGTCCAGTTTCTGTCCACTCTGCCGCAATGCATCTTCTTCCAGTCAGAAGCTATTTTGGAGGCTTCAATTTGACAAGCTATGTTTACATATTGTAAGGATACCAGAGCTTGAAAAGCAAAGCTCAGGCTTGTTTTGGTTTGTAGGAATACTTAGTTGTGTTAGAGGTTTAAAAGAATTACCGGCACCTTGACCGACGTGTTTTTTCCCTCCAATGCAGAAAACTGCCAGCTTTGTTTACAACTGTGGCATAAACACTCTTTGTAAATCCATTGCCATGTCAGGCATGAATATGTCTTGGCAGCAAGCAGCAACATGCAGTCACTCTCTCTCTCACACACACACACACACACACCTTATGAGCTTGCTCTCCCTATTCTGCAGCTACTGATGAAATCAGCGAAATGGGCTGAAATGAGGTTTCTGCACTTTCAATTTGGAAAGCAAACTGGAGAGACACTTCAGGTTTAACAGGTCAAAAATACATATACAAGTCATACTTGCCATTATTTTTCATTATTTCATTAGACTGAACCACTCTACTAACCTATTTATATTAAACTAGGACATAAACCTCAGCCTGAAGTCTAAAATATCCCCACCATTATGGGTATGCTGCAGGAATGGGTACAGTACAAAACAGTCAACTGAAAAGTCTCTGCATTGCTTTGACATACTAGTTGCACAAACAACAAGTGCTACCCTGCAGTCCCTTTTTATTTAATATTTATACTACTATAGTAGCACTCGGAGATACTAATCAGTGCTTCATTGTGCTGGGTGCTGTGCAAACACACACGGATACATGGTCTCGGCTCTGAAGAGCCTATTCTACAATCCCTTCAGAGAATTTTCTCTTGACATTGAGCTAAGGTCAGGGTACTCCCTAGGCTGTTTCCACTGTGTAATCCATTTGGAGACTGGGACGGTGTAAAGCAGTATGAGAGTCAAATCTCATCTGGAAATATTTCCTCTCTCTTGCTTAGACCTCTTAGAGTTTTATATAGCATAGCGGAGGAACAAAACCCATTCTAAATAGTGAGATTATTTCATAAAGGGTCCTTTACACAAAGTGAGCTGTTTAACACCGCGTTGTTGCTCCCATCTGAGCAGTACTGTATTACAGCATTATGTCTCCCACTCGCTGCGGCAACATTTGGAAAAAAGGAAAACCGGCTATTGAAGGGCGTGCTTCTTTATTTACTTGTGCACAGTCCCAACAATGAAATTAGCTGATGTGCTCTTGCTCCAAACACTTACACCGGAAAAGACGGCGAACAACTCTGGAATTTGCTTCTGTTTGTTCAGAGTAAACAAATGTGTCGACCTTCACGAGATGGTGTAAAGTCCATTTGAGGGGATAATAGTAGGATAGTTATATCTTTAGTTTCAGCTTGGGGCTGACGCCCCTTTAATTTCTGATTGACATCTGTCAACTAGTTTCTCTATTTTTGTGAGCATGTAATGGATGCAATTGTTAAAAGACACAAAAACAATGCAAAGTGTGGAGGAAACTGGACCCTGGGTGGCCAAAGT